ATTTTCTAAAAAGTGCCGAAACCCCATGATATTTACAAATACCAGGTAATTTTCGTAACGAGTTATCGTGGGCAGCGAAGAGGGTGACATTTAAAGGTTGTCCGCATGCTTCCCTTTGTTCTTTAAAGAAAGGTCAGTCAAGGTATATTAGTGAGCAAGACAAGTCTTCTTAAGTGAAATCAGCCAGCATAATAAACAATTTCGTCGTCATGTTTCTCAAGGAATATGAGGAGGAGTAGGGAAGGCCCTCGGGAAATTGATAATTATGAAGTACGAGGTTTGGTCAGGTTGTACGCGAAAACAACAGAAAACCTTTAGAATGTTAAGACATAAGATGTATTACCAAAACACCCTGACATTTACCTAATATAGAGTATACTAAATATACATGAATATGTTCTGAAATAATTAGTGGTTTATCCATCTATCAACCCATATAGTGCTCCTACTCAGTGCAGTGCTTCACACTCTCTACCCCCCCCCCTTCTCCTCCGTCACAGTCTTGCTCGGTTACACGTATAACACATGGGACATTTTCCTTAAAATAAATAAGCTATATATCTGTATATATATATATATATATATATATATATATATATATATAAACATGTAAATGTCCTGAAACAAAGCTCGTTAATCCATATATCCAACTATATCTTGTTCCGACTCAGCATTGCTCAGCAAACTAAGTCTGAGTACTTCGCTTTCTCTCCCTCCATCCAACTCGTTTACACTTTTCTCTCCTTCTCTCTCACTCTCTGTCTCCCAATATAAATGTTTATAATTTCATGTCATTCTCGATCTCTCTATATGTGGCTCTGTCCCCCCCCCCCCCCCCCACTTTAATTTATCTTCATCTTTCTTAACAATTTTTCTTTATATTTAATCTTTCGTAGAAAATAGGTATTTTTGTAAAAATGTTAATATATATTTCTTTTTGGGTAAGAACGACTGTGATGGAATGTTCTAGAGAGATAGATGGATCGAAAACTACATGTTCTCGATAAGACACTGGACAATGAATTCGGGTTAACATTTTCAAGAGGAAATGTTTAGTAAAGATTCAATTATTACGTAATCTGGGACGATATTTCTTTCATTCTTAGACCTTCTCACATGTCTGAAGCCAAACTTCACCTTTAAAGACATGATTTCATCTTAACTCTCAGGTCGACATTCTTTTTCTCCTTTCGATTCTCCGACATGTAACAGAAGATCGAATGATGACCTAAGAGCGAGACAAACCCTCCAGGAAGCCCAGTCAATATTTGAAGAGCACTTCGAAGTACTCACAGCTCTATCGGAACACGGAGACCTGTATATGTACATCAATATCACCTCACGATGGCTCCTGTCCAGCTCTGACTTACATTTTGTATACGCGGAAAAATGCTTCGCGATTCCTCCATTATGGAAGTCCTGATTTTGAATGTGTACTCAACGTCCAGACAGACCCTCATTGTTCGCTGGGAAGTTATTAAGTCAGGAAAGTCACAAATTCAATTTACAAGAAAATTGTTGCTCTTAAGTCTTGCGTGTCAGTCATGAAGAGAAAGTGAGACCTAGAGAGAGAAAGAGAAAGAGAGAGAGAGAGGGGAAGAGAGAGAAAGAGAGAGGAATAGAGAGATAAAGCGAGAGAAAGAGATAGAAAGAGGGAGAGAGAGAGAGAAATAGAGGGAGAAAGGGAGAGAGAGAGAGAGAGAGATTGAGAGAGTGATGTGATATCTTAGGCACACATGTGGATTTAAAGGGGATATTTTTCTCTCGCAAGGTTGACAGAAACGTGTACACGGCATGCAAGTTAGCATTTTCTAGCCTATATACATGATGATGATAATAAAGATGCAAAGCAATAGTCGGAGCGAAAAATATCAAGAATTATAGCCTTTCATAGAAGAATTAAATGCATTGTCACAATATATTTTCCTCATTATTCTTTTTCCCCCATTTTACATTTTCTCGATATATATATATATAAATATAAAGTGTGACATGTATTCCATTCAAATCGCAATAAATTTGCTGGATTTCTTTTTTAAAGAGGCAAAAATCACGAGTGGAATCCAAGGGTATCGCGACAGGTGTTAGTTTGTGTGTATGTGTGTGTGTGCGTGTAGGTTCCCATTTTCGGCAAATATCAATATTATCTCCGTTTGAAGAAAAAAAAAAAAAACGCTTTTTTTGGAGAAGATTCAGGAAACTAAACTTGTACGACACCCACCTTTCCTCTTCAGAAACGCCATAACAACCCGAACATTATTCCCGTATAAGTGGAAAATCAACACCCAGACAACAATAAATATACTGCTACCCGACGTATCACCCGTCAACAGATGTTCCCATCGTCAAGTACTTATCCGAGAGATTTTACCATATTGCTAGTAGCTAGTTGTGGTGTTTAACAATGATCTGTTTGGAACCAGAAGGGCGTTATTAAACCCCCTATACACTAACACAGAATGAACACCCTTCTAGCTCTGAACAGACAGGTTGTTTGTGTGGAGGTTGTTCAGATGTTTTTCTATTTGTAATGGATAATTTCCAAGTACCAACGGCATGAGGCAATTGTACCCGATGCTCTCGAGAGCCCTAGACCTCCTAGAATGAAAATAGATATCGGAAAACGTGGTCGACAGACTTTCGAAGTATAACGTAAGGCAGATATGCCAATTGCCGTCCAACGCCTATAAACATATTCGAAAAAGACAGTGAAGTCTAACGGATTAAATCCGAATATGACTTTTAGATAATGTACGAAAGCATATTGAATAACCCATGAGCTAATTACCCAAATGCATTTGTGGTCGTATTATGATCACTCTTTAGAATGGATAATTTAATAGCATCTCAGACAACCATGTGACACAGTTGCAATCTTTAAAAAGATCAATTATCAAATTAAGCTTATATCAAACGCAACAACGAATATATACCCATCGCTGACAGCGACGATGTATTCAAATGCGAATGTACCAAGTGATATACTACAAAATGTCAAAACGGAGAGTCTATCAAATCTATCTTTCATTAGTTATTTGACATGGTTCAATATGAAGATAAACCGAATGTAGGCCTCACTTCCTCTTCTCGTAAAAAAATGCGACCTAGAATTATGCACACATGCTAAGACCAGTCGCCAACATCCCAGTAGATTCCCAGTATCTATTATGTGTGCGTGGAGTGTGCGTGTGTGCGTGTGTGCATATATCCGCTTAGAAGGACAACTTAATTTGTCACGGATGAAGTGCTTCTTTTCTCGTATAATGTCGTTAGAGTTTGCCATAATGATGCGTTTGTCAAGGACCACGTTTCCGCCCCATCTTCTTCATTTCCTGGATTCATCTGACAGGCTCTCTGGTCGACCAATCGAACGAAAACAGAGACAGAAGAAGATAAGAAAAAAAACAGGAAAGAGAGTAGGAACGGAAACGAAAGCTACTCGCGTTTCATATGTCACCTACTTGTACACCCCTCCATACAGTGGCGTGGCGTGAGTCCGTCTATTGAGGGTCACTGAGATCAGGGGTGATGGGGGGGGGGGACCGTTTTGTAATACTGTGAAAATTAAATTCGTATTTACAAGACACTGATCAGGGGAGGGTGCTGGAGGGAGACGTATCCTCTTTTATTTTTTCCTCCTTGTCCTATTCTTTGTCTCATGTTTTTGGTTTATGTTTTGTGTGGGTGTTTTCTGTTGGAGGGGAGGGGGGGTAGGGGACCTTTCCATGTGCATCCTGAAGCTTCGCCTCTGTCTAGATCTGTCTTTCAAGTTGAAGATCCCTTTCCCCACCCTTGCATTCCCTTAACGAATGTTTAACTTGAGCCGCCTCGTGTTCTTTTCAAGTTCGACGCCACTTTGAATGTTGGTAGCCTCCGCATTCCCACCCCATCACATTCCATCAACATTAAATGCATGTGGGGATAATATGTAGTCAAATGAGAGAGAAAGAGAGAGAGAGAGAGAGAGATAGATAGAGAGAGAAGGGGGAAGAGTGAGAGAGGTAGAGGTGCATGGATGAGGGGCAAGGTACCATCCATTTATTGTTTATGTCCAACAACGCCATATTCTAACATTAAAGCTATTCCGCCTTTAACCACTGTTAACTGTACAAAATAAATAGTTCCTATTCGAATAAACAGTCTTCTAGAAATGGTTTAACCTGTTTTGTGGAGGTACACTATTTGGGGTTAAACTTAAACAAATAATCCATTCGGAGCTAGAAGGGCGTTAACCCTGTGTTAAAGTACTTTACGCCCCTTTGGCTCCAAACAAACGTAAATCTTAGTACGTATGGGAACTGAGTACATCAATTATAAAACACTTATAAAAAGCGCGTTTGTTGTAGCCTTTACAAGCAGACACACGCACACCCTAACCCCCCCCCCACACACACACATATATTTATATATATACATATAGATTCTTGTGATGTTTGTGTGTGTGTGTTGTGGTGCGATGGAAGATAAAGTTAAATCATCATGAATATATCCTATTACAAAACTCCATCAATTTTCTGATCTCCAACTATGCTGATGAGGATACTAACGTCATCTTTGCAATTAGTAATGAAACATTAATGGCGATTTAGCCCAAGGTCCTGCCGTGTAATTCAATACTATCTCACGGTGGCATTAACTCATTGCATCAAAGTGATAGCTCGAGATCAATCTAGGTGGAAATAATTTTAAAAGGCGAGGGAGGAAAGAGTAACCGAGCTGAAAAAGGCGACATCGTCCGAATTTCTGAATCCATAGTACAGTATATAAACGAGGGATTTCACGCACATGACCGAAGAATGAGTGTAAGAAGTGTATAGCAGTAGTCTCGATCTACAGTTCACCTTTCGATCACTCGCTTGACTGGTATCGATTCCCCAGGGTCTTGTACCTCATCGTAGTGTATACCCATGAGTGGATAGAAAGTAGACCCCTCCCCCCTCGTCTCACTGAAAACAAACACTCCTTCATTCACACGCTGCTAAAATACTGCTGTTCACTGACTGGATTCGGCATTCTTTCCCCAGCGCTCTCCGAGAGCGTACTTATATAGCTGTTCTTTAATTTATCGCTCCAGTAGACGTGTAAAATAGAAGAGATTCAAACTCGTTCAAGTATGGGGTGAAGAAAACCACAGTTTCCGTGCAAGTTAAACCCTGCGAATCTACACATTTCACGTCACATTCAGCTTCATTTGTTAAACCACAATTTTAGAAGGATTGCGATCGTCGTGAGTATTGTACGTTTGATATTCCATAAATAGAATACAATACTACATTTTGGCTCTTATGTGTGGTTGCTATACCTCTTCGTTCCATACAAATGGTAGCTACCTACATTTCTATTTATTGAATTTACTCACCTCAATATAGAAGTCAAATTTTACGCCATGCGAGCAGAGTGAAAAGGAGTTGATGATTTTTTTCCTTTTCTCGTCAAAATTACCGAGACGGCTTCGTGATACAGAGAGAAAATGAAACAAACGTAAAGCACGTACAGTGTTACATTTCACGCCGAAGGAGACCAAACCTGACAAAATGAAAAAAACGCGAGATAGAAATGTGGTATTATTATTCACTTTGAGTTGAATCTTGGGCCCGTCGGCGAAGAAGAAAAAAAACTATCGTACCCTGGGACAGGGGTCTCCGTCGTCTTTAGTAGATCATGAAGTAATCTGATGTTGAGCCACAGCTCGGAGGAGTCATTTAAAGCTTTGAAGCATCATTAACCACCGCCAGTCTTATCACTCTATTCTACCCCTCGCGGCGGAGTTGAAGGGAGCGCGATTTGACAACTCAACCCAACGACTGTGCGCGAGCGTGAGAATGCACATGCCAGTGTGTGTGTGTGTATGTATGGTATAGCTGAAGGGTTGAAGAGCAAATCGCATACATAACCAAACACTCGAGCACGTGGAGTAAATAGGACTATTATTGCTCGCCTTTGCTCTCTCACCGCTTCTCGACGTTGGCTGAACACCTTGCAAGGTCTACGGCATATCTGTAACTACATCTCTGAATTAGAAACCTTACCTGGGTGGAAAAATGGGCGATGAAAAGGAAACAGAGTACATGTCTGTAGCGGTGGAGGAGCCTGGGAAGAAGACAGCCAACAGCACAAACTCGAGAGGGAAACCTGCATCCATAAGAGCTCATGGTGTGAAGTGTGTGAAAAGGCGTACCACCCTTGAAAAATTCCTAATCTTCCTTCTCTTCATCGTTCTTCTCTTCGTTCTTCTTCTCATCATTGTTCTGGTAACCAAGAGCAGGAAAGGTAAGATTAAATGAATTTTAAAAAATGTTTTAAATGGAGGTTTGTGATATATATATATTATTTGCTTTATCCTGTGTAATGCAACATGTATTGTATTAATACGAAACATTTCCTTAAACAGTTTTTGCAAATAGTAGAATCGAGCATCTTCCGGGAGATCTTACACAGCTATCAAAGCTTTCAGTTAATAATCATGACTTCTTTGTATTTGGATTCACAGCACACTGAATGGATACAATTCAATCTGTGCCAATATTCACATAATATAAGACACTATTCGGACATGTCTCGGGGAAAATCCATTACTGCCACATTTTAAACTGCTAGTACATGAGGTGATACAATGAATGCATTGAGGTTGGTAATATTGTGCTGATGGATGTGGTACGCAATGGCATCTGAAACATGCTTTTATTCATTCTTTCACTTATTTACAATTTTTGGCCTCGGTCGGAAATATTTCAAGAGTGAATGGCATATAATGTTGTATTCAATCAGTTTGATGAATAGTCGTAATATTTTTTCTCGACATTTCTACTTTTGAGGAGTGAACAAGAGCTACTGCAAAGAAATTCAGCAATATCGATGAGAAAAACGATGACAAAGGGATAATGTTGCATTCAATCAGTTTTATGAGCTTAATCGTAATTTGTTTTTCTCGACATTTTTTTCTTTGGAAGAATGAACAAGAGCTACTGCAAAGAAATTCATAAAGAACGATGAATAAAACGATAACAAAGAGAGAGAGAGAGAGAGAAAGAGAGAGAGAGAGGGGGTGGGGCTGAGAAAGAGAGAGGAAGATAGAAATATATATAAAGAGAGAGAGAGAGGGAGCTTGGTTATATGCCAACAAGAGTAAGAGAGACAACACGAGAGATTGGGAGGGATGGAAACAAATTTAACAGGTGAACTGTATGAGGAAAACCCTTGCATACTGGTGAAGGCTACTGACTGACATACGAGATGTCCTGGGTGCAAACCTTGTTCGTCGTCTACATCCTTTGCCGAGGTGTTTCCCCAAATTTGGCGCTCTCGACCTAGGTGTAAATAAAAGGAACAACGAACTTGCGGTATCATCATAATTGCAGCCCCATCAGAATGAAGTTAATGAGGCTACTTTGGGTAAAAGAGAACAATCATTACTGTTATAATGAAGATAATCATTATTATTTAGGATCACTTTGACTACTACCACGCCTACTGACAATGCATTTTGTGTCTATAGATGGACGCCCAGTGTAATACACGAGTGCCTTAATATAAATATATATATATATGTATATGAAATCAATAGTTATGATATATTACTTCCCATTTCAGCGGTATTAAATTTGCTTATTCACATTCACGTTCACGTTCACTGTCAATGATGCAATGGTTCACATTAGTTTCGAATAATAGTGTCATCCTACAATGTGTACCCTTAATAATGCATCATCTTAAAGTTTAAAAACTCTATCTTTGGGCCTTCGTAATTTTTGTCTTTTGGATTAAGAAATCAGTATCATTAACATTATTCAAATCATCATCAATCATCATGTCATCAGTTAGTAAAGGCATATCATCTGAACCTACTCAAGACGATATATTTTTACACGCAGGAACATAACCCCAAGCATTAGTTTGTCCTAGCTGTGTCAGTATATTAAAATTTGTCGTGCTTACAAAGATCTATTAGAAAACATATTAAAAGTATGTACGCATAATAAACATGATTAGGTTATAAGTGAAAACCCAAGAGACTCTCGGGGCTTGTCCGATATACTAATACGAATAATTATATTGTAAGAACTGTTGAAGTAATCGTATTAGAGGTGCTTGTAATAGGAACTTTTAGATTCGCACGAAGACAATACGTCTACGCTACGATCGACGTCCTTGTAATGCACTGCCTTCAATGGACGTCACACGTATCAGTCCACGCAAATCTAAAAGTCCCTATTATCTCGCTTTGGGGAAGAAGCGTCACTATACATCTGAATACTTTTCTTTTATACATGTCTACCTCCTTATGTAGATCGGCAGACAAGGAATAGTACATACGGTTAAACTCTACTTTTGCATTGAAAATTTCAAAACCATCTTTTTTCCCACGGCTTGAATAATGGGTGTTCTACATTCTTTCCTTGATTACGTCTGGCTAAACCTTATCAGTGTAGTATTTCAAAGCATTTCAGATGTTTTTGTTGAGCCGTAGCACATGCGCCGTTTTGAAAGGGAGCTGGTATTTTGGGTGTTTAGACGAATTTGGGTCAAACAAAAGTGAACGTCATCAGCACGGCCTTGGCGGAAGATTTGACAAGGCACAAAGTTGGTCTCTATTTCATCACAAACGAAGGCGTAGGTGGACAATCCTTCCCATATTCAGAGGATGAACAAAGGAGACAATACAAAAGGGAAGTTCAGGTTTCTTTGAAGATTTGATAAGGAAAGTCGTTTAAATAATTCTAGTAGTAAAATAATAATAATAATAATAAAAACGGTGCTTGATATCTCATCTTATAAATACACAAACACATTGCATCAACCTTTAAAAATATTAGTAATGTTGCCTAGAGCAAGGATTATATTCTTATCTAGATGCGATTTTATATTTGTAAAGATGGCGCGCAATTTTCTCAGTATATCATGACGAAAAGTATTAGGATGACTATTTTAAGTGTGTCAAGTTTATTACGATCTCCCCTGCTCACGCATACCCTCCTATCTGACATTGTTTTGACTGGATAGGTTGATGGTAAATGCATTAACTTTTTTGATGAAAATTGTATTGAAACATGTTCATTCAAGTTATTTTAAGATCATCTCTGATTGAACTAATGTCTGGTGTAGTATACATGTTCGTTATAAGCGTGCTAGTTTGAAGCGTTCAATGTAAAACTGTCGAATGGAAATTTCTAGAAATGGTAGCCAAAAATGAATTGCAATTTCATAAATTTGCTTTTACATGTAGGCTATGCCTTGCATCAGACATTACCTCTTTTAAATAGAGAGAGAGAGAAAGAGAGGGGTAGAGAAATACAGAGAGGGAAGAAAGGGGTGGGGTGGTGGAGCGATGTCTTTACTAACGCCAATATCCTTGATTTATGCATCTAGTGGAATCTTAGCCATGTATATCTAAAAAAGACGAACGTTTAATATTAAATTCCACTTTGCCACAATTGACTTAATTGAAGTGACAAGAGACGTTACATATCGAGCACATTTAATGATATTAAAGATAAACTTGAGTTCTGGTAAAAAAAAAATGAATTCTCACAGAATCTAACGAAACTTACACTGAATGTTCAAGATACAAATAAATGTCATGTGCCAAACAATTTTGGAAGAAAATGTATACTGGCTGAGTAATGAGCATAGAAAGATAAAGAAATCAGGGTAGTACTAGCCCCGACACCATGTGTGTTGTCCCATATACATCTTTCTGTGTAAGTGATTGTTACTTTACCAAGACTCTGCCAAATTTATGATGATTTTGACGACTCCAGAACCTTGCATTACACACCATTACTAACATGCTATATGATCACCTTTTCTGATCCATTCCACACCTTTTCTTTCACAATGCAATCGCATTACCAGAACTCAAGTTTATCTTTAATAATTATATAATGGAGGTTTTGGATAGCGCTCATGTCTGTCAGATTTGACACCCCTGGCGCTCCACAATTTAGGGGGATAGATTAGCTAGATGTTTCTACTTTGTGATACATCAATAACTCCTACCAGTGCTGACATGACGATAGGTCACTAGTCACAACATTAGTGATAATGTTTCCATACAGAATACATATGAGCATGCAATGAGAGCTGCAAAGCAATTTTGTTCACCAACAATGTACATATTTTGCTAGCCCTTTTTATATTTTAGTGAATGCCTATCAGAAACCTTACTACACATGTTTGTTCTGTTAACTCTAAGAAAAACAAAATCGTTGTGATATTTTTAGCTGATATGAAATTGAAAATGTGAGCCAGAGGCCACCTAAACACTTTAATCTCTTTGGATCACAATGGGTGATGATTATTTGATATTTTTGCTGTAAAACAGCACCCATAGCAACGATACAGGTGGGCTATTATAAAGGAAATGTATTTAACCCCTCGCACGCTGTAGGCAGCATTTAACTCGAGCAACGATGAAAAACGCTCAGATTCATTGCCATTAGGCCTAAGGTGATGGATTATCCCGGCTGAACTGCAACAATGCGTTATTTTTCCCTGGTAGGTGAAGATATGGAAGGGGGGAGGTGAATGAATAATTCATAACCTCACTCCATATTATATATTATGTCTGGGATCTGGTAATATGTGCTTTGCATTGACCAGGTATGTGCAAGTGCCTCTGCAGAATCGAAACGCCCTGACTGCATATCGTTTTACAATTTTAGCCTGTAGTCTGCCATTGCACACTAAGTGCATGACACTCGTAAGACATGATTTAAGGCAACTTTCTATATCCAATTCGGATGAAATATAAACTTCATTATTGTGTATTCATACACAATATAAACAAACTGTGAAAAACCATGTATGAATTCGTGAACGGGGCTATGCTGGGACGTTGTCGTGGATGAGTAGGCGTCTATTGCCACTTTGGTCGTGAATAAATGACAGGTGAATTCATACACTTTTTATAGTCGACAATCGATTTTTCACCAAAATAGGCACGAATACTGGAGGGCCGTCATATTAAGGAAACCAATCATTGATATAAAATGAGCAGATCCGCCCACTCCTATTTGAAGTAATCAGTGCATGGGCCATCCATACAAAACGAGTGAAAGAGATGAAAATTACAAAACCCTTAGAACGGACGTTTAATAGAGCCAGACTCTTCCCCCGTGGCGTCCGTACAATGGTACGTAGTATACAGGAGGCATGGGTGGGGGAGGGGAGGGGGGGGGGGGGGTCACTGGACACAAGTATCACCCCTTTTAGCTATATCAAGGCTTGCACATCTGTACTGCTGGTACACACTCATCAGGTATAAATCATTT